TATATATATATATATATATATATATATATGCGCACAAATCTATATAAATATCTTTGCTGAACAAAAAGCTAGAACTATAAAGCTGACATCTTAATAATACTGTCGACTGCATTGCATCTTATGAAGGAAAATCGCCCTGTGGAGAAGTTACTGAGTTAAACTACCACTGCCTGAGCTATCGATCGTAGCGCCACTACCATAAGTCAAAGACACACTAGTACAAAACATTTTGTTTAATTAAAGATTCATGATTGAATTTCCTGTAAGACAGCCATCAGGTCAATAACCTTTTAGAGGTTTTCTTGCTTCTTCATATGGAATCTGACATGAAAGCTGAATCCAAATCTGACAACTGAAATAGTTGAGTAGTAAAAACTTTTATATGTATGTCCATTACTTATACACGCAAATATAAATTTCAACATTGGCTTTTCATCTGGCTGCTTCATTACATAATATTTCATCAAGTCTAGATAAGGAAGCCGTTATATGAAACGTTAAATAATCACATATTAGTTCATCTCTCTATGGACATCACACTTGTTTAGTTTCTGAACAAGCTAGGGCACCAATGAAGGACATGCAAAGGTTAAATGTATTTCAGTGGTGGAATTTCTGCAGATCACAATGTCTTCAACAGGGCATTGGGAAAGAATATGCTGCCCTTTTCAGACATGACTGCATATATTTAGCACCTACTAACATGTATTTTACTGTAAATTTGTCAACAATTTGAATTCATATGAGTCCAATTTAATCAACCCAGGATGACGAGTTTGGGGAGTGTGACCATCAGAAAATTAGCACCTACCCCCAATTGGGCCACTTTTGCCAATATTTAGGGGTCAAAATCTATTTTAGCCATTTCTGGATTCAACTAACAAATTTTGATCTTAGGGCTGATTTAGACATTTGTCATGAGCCCAAATTGGACATGTTTGACTAAAGCTTTTATAGAAGCACGTTGGTTGTAATTAATCCCCAAAATACATTTTAAGTATTATAATACCGACAAAGACAAGACCTGAGTTTTGAGGTAAATGCAACTTTTGCTTATTCAAATCTCAGAATGCAATTTAGACCTATGTGTCTACTATAAAACTCTTCAAGCGTGTGTTTAGTAATGGTAATGACTGGATTTTAATGTTGATCTTGGCTACAGGCTGAAATGCAGTGGTCAAGCAGTAAAGTTGTTCTTCATTACAAATGTTGCTGAAACTTCAACTTCTAATGACTGGATTTTCAAAGAAAGTACCCATTTTCCTCCACACTGACAGTTTTCTGTACAAAACTGACAAAATGTGACAATTTGTTCTCAAGCCTTCCTTGTGTATGAACCACTTTAATATGCCTGCGGCTCGAGTGTTGTAGGTGCAGTTACCTGAGGGCGTAGCAGCTTGTGGAGGTGCAGCAATGGGCGTGTCCACACTTAGTTTTCTCTTAGCTTCCATTACTGGATTTTCAAACTGGGTCTTCTGGTTGATGTGGCTGTACAGGGAATATAATATTAAATGAGCAAAAATCCCAATGTTAGATAAAGCTAGAATGTGCATTGAAAATATAAATGTTTTTTTGTTTCGATTGCATACTGTTGATCTATTACTGAGTTTCTCATGTCAGTTGACAGTCCGAGCTGCCAACTGATGGTTCACCGTTTGGTATCGCTGAATAGTGCTTGTCCAAAGAGCAGACACTGTTCTTTGCCTGCCATGCAAACCTGCGATTTGAATACGAGGGCTGTTTGTGACATAACATGTGCTAGGCAGACAGGCTGTCTTTATAATATGTGAGCTGTTCTAAATACATTACGAAAATCTTTAACCTGTCTTTGCCAGAACTGCTGCACATTTAAATGGTTTGAGAGAATATCTAAACCTCATTAATTAAAAATAAATTAACTGTCATGCCCAATGAATTCTGAGAGAATTTACATGGAGGAAATCAGTAGCAATCTTTCATGCTATGGGCCCATATTGTATAGCTGGGATAAACATCTGCTCAATGCCTCATAATGCGAGAATAAAAAGACTTAATGAACAGCAAAATGACAGAAATAAAAATGTGCCCTTTTTCACATTACAGGCACTGAGGTGGTATCGTTCCAGAAGTTTCCTAATATAACCAGGCTTTGCCAATCCAGGATCAGCAGCTATACTTGGGGGACTTAACACGAAACTTAATCTAAAAACAATTAATGATTTGCAGTCACACCTGTGTGCTTAAACATTTCCTGTTACCAAGGGAAATGTCCTTCCACGGTTAGATGGTAATGGAGAGAGGTAGCTCATCTGCATAATAAGCTTTAACGGTTGTAAATCACCATTACAGCACCTTAGGAAGAGAAAATGCATTGATGCTGCACAGTGAATCAGCCACATGCTGAGACACTGACTGTATACGTGTGTGCGCGCGCGCGTGTGTGTGTGTGTGTGCATGGGTACTCTGCACTCTTACTGCGTATGACTCATGCACAGAGATACCCTCGCCATTATGTCTGAAGAGATAAACATTCTATTTCCTTCATTTCTGTCATTTCCTCTTTTGCTCTGTCTCACTTTCTCAATCCTTGATTGCCACGCCTCATGTTTTGTAGACACAGTGAGACTTTGCGTCACGTCGTTGCATTTGGTCGTTCATTCACAATAAAATTTGCCAGACAAAAAAAACACAGAGACAGAAGGGAGAGAGAGAGAGAGAGCCTCTCAATGACCCTCTTGCATAAACAGGCGCGTATATTTCCCCCCTGCCTGCGGGTCTCTTCCTCTTTGTTCACAGTAATGGCACTAAAATGAAACACTGTGCTCTTGTTTACACTCTCGATCAGAATTGAATCTCACCCTCGTTTCCATCTCAGGGACCTCTAAATCTTCATTGTCTGTTGTCTCCACTGTATTTTCTTTTTCAGATACACAGACAAAGCTGTAGCTCACTTGTTAGTTCCCACAAGGGTGCTTTCAGCAGAATTGTGGGAAACTACTGTTTGCACAATTGCATAATGTACTATTATCACGTGTCCCACAGGTTCCCCTGAGATCCAGCAGCTCAACATGTATATGCTTGGTATTAAGTGATATGGCTTTATGTTGCAGAATATACAAAAATATCTTGAAATAGAAACCATTCTAAATGGGCATTTTAGAGAAGTCAAGTATGCAGAAACAGCTTCAGAAAACCTATAAAGGTCGAGAATGATGTCTCTTCAGGAAAGAGACTAAGAGACTCAATATCACCATGCATGCTTATCAACAGGTGTAGATTTCTATGGATCTCCAGGTATAAAAGGAAGAGAGAATTTTACTTACTCTACGTAGTATGTGCCAAATTGTGGATCCTCAATCTTCTCCCAGCCATAGGGCAACTCTGGGGGAAAGGGAAAAAAACAGACAGGGAAAAGGCTGACTCAAATCACTTAAGATACTGCTGAGGCACTACATGGACAATTGGACACACTCAATGAAGTGTGGTGTTTTGACTGGCACCATCACAGCATGCTTAGCTACACCTACAGAACAGGAGGCCTTCTTTTATTTGTCACTATGTGTTTAAGACTTGATACACACTATGGAGGAGGAAGGGGAAGACGGGCGGGAGGGGAGGGGGGGACACCGTGTGTTGTTAGAAAGCCTCCCAGGAAAAAATAACAGCCCTTCTTTCCAGTGGTGTGTATGTGTTCAGCATCTCGGGTTTCTGCTGCTGTGTGACAAACACACGCAGCGCAGAGGAGATCTTTACGCAAGAGGAGCCATAGAAAATTGCCTTTTGAGAGATGCTGCACTGATGAGCTCTCTGCATGTGTCCACGAAACCATTAGGAGGGGACGGGCGGACTGAGGACTGGGGGTTTGTGCTGTGTCACCAGCATGACTGTGACCAGGAGCGCTCAGCTGTTCAGTATCCGTCTGTTAGCCAGCGCCCCCTTCAGAGAGGCAGGGAGGCAATACAACAAGGACTTGGGAAAAGTGTAGGTAGAATGTGAGCAGACTCGATGGCTGTAAGTGCCTGCGCGATTGTTACTTATCACAAAGCAAGCTCCTATTGCCTCACCTCCTTCGTCGCATTTCTCAGGTGGCTTGGCTTTCTTGGCAAGACGTGGGTCCAGCCAGGTGGTGGTCTTGCTGTTATGACTGTAATATGAAAAAGATACAGGGCTTTAAGCACAGTTTAAATTATTTTTCAAATACTTAAGATGCCATTAGAGTTGAGCAATTAGCGCTTAGATCTCTTGGGAGCCACTTCACCCGGGGAGTGTTTTTCCATCTCTAGCAAACGAACAGAGCTCTCCCAAAACAGGATTATGACTAGTATTTAATCTTTTGGGATCAAATACTTTATTAAATAACCTTTTAAAAATATTAGTACAGTTTTAACAAAGCTCAGAGGACCGTTTGAGGCATAAGGGAGATGAAAAGAAAAAAAAAGTCACAGATTACAGAAAGATGGAAAGGGATGACACAGAAAGATAAAAGAGTGAGCAGTTGCAGAGATCATAAAGAGCAGAACTAAGACAGCAGGTCAGGGGTGGCGAGCTCCATTTACCCTGTTGTTTCTCTCACTGGCAGAATGAGCTATTGATTTAGCAGCAGGCAGCTTTACTTGGCTCTCTCAGTGGCTCAGCATTGACTGTTTGCCACACTAACGGGCCAGGTAAACAATGCGGGCCTGCTGCTTTTAGCGGCAGCCAACAAAACCAACATCAAACGCAGGGGAAATAAAAGGAAAAACTTTATTGAGACTCAACTCCACTGCAATGGCTGAGTCTACAGACAACTTCCATGTTCAGCACCTGCTGGTAATTCAGTACAGAGAGTTGCACTGAATAGGAAGCAGAAAAAGTCAGAACTCTAAACATACTGGGTTAACAAGGCAGAAACAAAGAGATGAAGAAGAAACTGGGACTACAAGCAATGGGATTAGAACAATGGTGATGTAATGGGAGTGTAATAGGACAAAAACAAGACAGGGAAGTCACAGTAGAAAGGCTACTTACTCGATGAAATAGACCATGCCGGTTTCTGTGTAGGCCATCTCCCAGTTTTTAGGCAAGGGCTCCTGACTTTCATCCTCTGTGTTCCATATACGCAAGTCCATGGCCCCGGCTGACTGGTTGTAGCTGGGCACTGTCTTCCTCCACTCGGCTTTGTCCTTGTGCTCTGTGGCCAGGCATGGGGAGAGGGACATGGGCATGGAGACAGAAATAGGAATGGGTTGGGAGTAGTGGTGTGGGAGATGATAGAAGGAGAAGGAGACAGGACGTGAGAATGTGGCGCCATTGGAGCTCCTCTGGGCTCCTTGCATTTCTCCCTACTGCTGCTGCTGCTGCTGCTCGAGCTGCTCTTCCTCTGTACACTAGCCGGACTGTTACATCCACAGGAGTGTAAGGGGTAGAGAGAGCGAGCGAGAGAGACAGAGAGAGTACACGCAAAGAGGACGGAAGAGCAGCAATTGCCATAGGATTTGCATGTCAGTAGTGATGTACTGAGAACTGCCTCCCAGGCAAGAGCAGAGTTGACCAATGCTTCAGCCCAGCCGGGAGCGCTACATCGCAACTCTATTAGCATCATAGTGTTGCTTGTGCGTGAGGGTATTTGCCTAATCTTGATGTGTATGTGTGCCTGTCTGGGTGAGGCTCTTATCTGCAGGTTTCATCTGGCTGTGTGTGACCTAGCTTTGTCGTGGCATTGAATGCTCACTCTGTTTGGCTGGAATAAAGGAATGGCAGGGGAAAAATAGTGACAACTGTTGACTGGAAGAAGTCAAGAGCTCTTTGTACTGAAACCAGGGCCCTTTTTCATGATAGAACCAGAAAGATGTTTCTGCATTTATAAAGTCTGAATAAACGACTACACACAGACACTTGCTCTAGGGTACAGCTGCTTTCAGCCCTTTCAAAGAAATATAAACAGAAGAGCTGTTGCAAATTTGTGCAGGCAAGATTGCTAAAAACCCCGAAATTACATGAAAGAAATGTACAATCAGTACTTAACTACATTCAAGGCCCAGAAATATGCCAGCTGCTACCTCTTTAAGTGGGCACTCTAAAACCATATGAAGAATTCATGTATTTTCAGTGAGACAACTGACGTGGTTCAAGGGGTTGGGAAGCCCGTCTTGTAACCGGAAGGTTGCTGGTTTGATCCCCAGCTCTGTCCATCCTGGCCGTTATGTCGTTGGGCAAGACACTGCACCGTACCGCCTACTGGTGTTGGCCAAAGGGGCCGATGGCGCGATATGGCAGCCTCGCTTCTGTCAGTCTGCCCCAGGGCAGCTATGGCTACAACTGCGGTTTGCCTCCACCAGTGTGTGAATGAATAGTGGAATTGTAAAGTGCTTTGGGTGCCTAGAAAAGTGCTATATAAATGCAATCCATTATTATTGTTATTATTATTAATTAATAGTGATATTTGTCTATAATTAGTATCTTCTCTTGGTTGAGGTCTACACTGCCATCCAGAGATGACAATGCATATCTCTGACAATTTCTTACTTTGAAATATAGAAATTCAACCTAATACAATAACTGATCTTTAAAAAAAAAATGTATTTATTTATTTATTTTAGAATTCGAATCCGTGTATTATATCTCTGGGACCTAATGTGTCCTTCTACACATAAGGTCCATGCCCATGAGCATACAGACAAAGCATGAAAGGAAGAGGAGGGGTATGATATTTGTTTGTTAAATAGGATAGAAGCGTGTCAACCGAGACATCAGGTCATGTGGGCCGGCACTGACACCGTGGGGTTGTAGGTGCAGGGTTGCAGCCAAGCTTGACTTTGCTGCCTGCCTGAACCACGGCTACGCACAATTTATTTTTCAGATCTTTTTTTTTCCGTCTTCATTTTTAAAAACATGTTGCAAGCACTCAGAATTGAGAAGAAAAGAAACCTTTCTTAATTTAGCATTTGCTGCTGTTGCCACTCGAGATACATTTTTCAATTTGCATATGCAACACACGACTCTACTTTTTGTAGTGTTTAAAATAAAAGAGTGTCTTAAGGTAATGACTTTCACTACTGCTACAATTTCATCCTCACTATTAGCTCTTAGCTGAGCCATGCAGTGGCATCTGTGTATGCGAATGAAACGAGCACAAACTATCTTTCTACCCGAGGGATTGCTTGTATTGATCTCAGACAGACTTTGGCTACATTTTGACTTTGCAGTGCTGTGATTTAGTGCCGACCTTGCATGCAGAGCAGCTAATCCTGAGAATGTTTATTTGGAGAGAAGAATGATAAGGAGAAAAGTAAAAAGGTCCTGCTGTTTTGCATTCTGAGAACAATATAATGAACTGCTGGAAAAATAAATAAATCAAGCAAACAAAAAAGTGCTGGGGTTTAAATGTGTAGAAAGCCAGTAATGAAGGGAGCTGTAATACAGCTAGCAGAGAATACTAACTAACACTTGTGAAAGCCATGAAAAAATTAAAAACAGCGGTGTCCCTCACCGGTCAGTCCGTTGACCAAAGGAGGCCTCTCTTCTTCCTCTTCCTCCTCTGGAGCAGCGCTGTCCTTTCTGTCCATCTTACTGACAGAGGTTGTGCGTTTTCTTTGGACCTCCGTGTCAAATTCCTCATCAAACAGAACCTGGTCCACCAGGTCTGGCTGTACAGGGCTCGGCTCCGCAGGGGGCTTAGGGGTCCCATAATAGTTGCCTGGGAAGAAGAGAGCGCGAGAGTGACAATGAAATATATTCTTTAATACATTTAAAAAAATATATGTGCAAGCTTTCTTGATTAATTTCATCATATAACCCTAACCCCAACCACTTATCTATACACATATTCACATACAACCCTTCCACTCAGCTAACCTGTAATCTGTTTCTTACCTTTACCCTTAGAGCAGACTTAGAAATTGCTAGGCAGCCTCTGCTTTGAAGATCTCATATTTAAATGTAGACACTTCAATTTTACCAAAATACACACAGACAGCCAGAAATGTTTACTATGGTATGAAAAGAGTTTCTTTCTGGCTTTATAGTGTACTGCGAAAAGAGGAGATAGAAGTACACACAAAACCATTGTGCTCGCAGCAGACCAAAAAGAGACTGTATCACTTAAAGTGTGAAAGATTACTGCTTTTTTTTTTTTACCTACAAATTTTATCTGGCAGACCTGTACTCTGGAACAAAATAAGACCAAGGATTTGCTGTTGTAACCCTCAAATGTTGTGAAAATCTCCAGGTTATGAAAAAGTCTGTAGCCTTTCTCCTAGATGCCAATATCACAATCAGTACTGACCCACAATACCATATGCTCAATCAGGACCACTGACTATTACTGTAACAACAGATCATTTGCTGGCTTCTAATCTTTGAAGTGGCCAAAGAAAAAAAGTTTTGATTCACTCATTTTGTTTATGTGCTAAAAAACATAATGTTATATTTACTATTTCACTCACAGGCAATTGTGGCCACAGCGCTTATGCCAAGGTTCTCGGGCACTTGATTGTCCCTTTAAGTCCATCAGCTTCCCTTTGCTGTCATGTTGGAGCCTAAGGCAGTTAACGGTCTTACACCACAGAGCAAGCCTTTGTCTTTTCTCAACTACAAAAAAAAAACGGGGTGACCCACTTACTACTCTCCACCTTCTTTCTTTGTGAAAAACAATTGAGGCCAAAAGATGTGAGAAAATAGTCGTGAAAGTATGGTGGAAGTATTGATTGTCCTCATATTTTTGTGTGGGATTGCAGTGTGCCGTGCTTTGTTTGAGTAGCCGAGCGTTGTTTTGGAACAGTTAAACGGCACATCGGGGAGTGGAAAGACACTGTGACCAAGGAGTCTGCGGGGAGGAGAGAGACAAGGGAAGGACCACTTTCTCACTGACAGAGATATGGTGGAAATAGAATTAAGTTCCACATTGAGGAACAATCATCCTTTCTATTGTTTAATGTCGCTCGTTTATAATAAATAAATATTCAAAGCCTTATCAAATTATTGCTTGCCATCTTAAAAGGAAAACAAAGAGCATTCAGATTAATGTACCTTACACTGAAATGCGTTATTACACTGACTGCAAAGTATAAGGTTATTAAGAGTTACCATCCAAACACCATTTTTAATCAGCTATAATTATGATACACTAAATAAACAAAAACAAAATCATCCTAGAATCATAGTGAGAAATTCATCATAACTGAGTCAGGTAAATAGATTAATGCACATTTAAATTAGAGAGCATTATTATCAGAATCAATTGGTTACTAGGTTTGTAATTAATAGCAAGCTTAATCGTGGAATAAAAATTGGAGGAGGTAAATTAGAAGTGGTAATTTGCTCTCTTCGTTCCACTTTCTGAAGCTCACACAAAGGTTCCCGTAGCTTCTCTAAGTACCCCAGTGCAAAGAGCGGAGAGACGATGGCCAAAATAAGGAAGCACACTGAAATTGATTGCGTTGTAATTACTGTGTACTAATGAGTCACAACCTGAAAAGCAGCTTTTGTTTAGAATCACTACCTCCGTCCAGCACACAGATACAAAACCATAAGCTCCCAAAGTGAACTGAAAAGACTGCAGGCTAGATGCTTTTTTAAACTGTAGTTTAAAAACTGTAGAGTCCAGCTCATTAAGAACTTGCTAATGCACCGCTAATATCATTTAACATTTATATCCTGTGACTTTGCAAGATCCCCAGGCATCTGCTGTCTACTATGTACTACGTATAATTATAATATATCTAATTCTGTTCTGTGATCTGTATCTTCCTTTTTATGTGATGACTCTATAGAGAATATATATGTTTTATTATTTTAACGACAAGCCACACAATAACAAATATATTTCATTATTACAAACAGATAGATCAAACAGATCCTAATTCCTGATTCTAACAGATCAATAATAAAGATATCTGTGAAAAAAACAACTAAAGAATAAAAGATCAATTGATTATCTATACACAAAAAGCACAACTGCAAATTATAACAGCAAGAGTAAAGACGAACAATAAAGGCTGTATTTACTGTTGCATATCTGAGCCAAATTGATGGAAAGGCAGAACTGTGTCGGTTCAGCTGTTCTGTGTAGAGACGTGGGAGCGAAGAGATACTCAGGAGTCTCTCTCTCAAATTGTGGTAGGATGCACCAGGTACCATCAGTTCAATACAATACAATAAAATACGATGCAACTATTAATAATTTACCCATTTAAAATTATTAGTGTCCACAGAACAAGTGAAATGAAACAATGTAACAGTATGAAGTCATAGTGCATCTCTTTTCACTTCTTTATACCTCAACTCATTCTAGTAACACAGCTGGGTTTGTATGTGTATAAAATGGTGCAGTATTTGTTTGAAAAACCTTTTAAATTGATATATTTTAAAAGCATTTTTTGATTCAGAGGTTTGGCGAGCTCTGCTCTCCGTTTCATCGTGCACACGCCTCCTTAGCTTTGCTGTATGTGTGTTCATTTCAGTGTGGCAGAAAGTGAAGCGAAGAGAAAGATTTGACTTGAAGACCACTAAATGATTAAGTGCAATAAATATTTCTTAACTGTGACATCAATATAAAACATCTATAAGAAGGTAAAAAAAAAATCATTAACTGCATCTAACCTAAAAAGAGAAAGTGGCAGGGGGAGAAGCAGCACCAGCAGCAGGTGAGCTTTCTGCAGCATTTCACAGGCATTCGCTGCATTTTACAAGGATGACTGGATCTTTTTCTCTGCATATACATAGTTTTTCTCCTTGTAAATAAATGTGTTCAGTGCCTTTCTGCTTTCATCTGAGGTGTTGGTGTTGTGTGATATCCAGTGGCTCTGAATACTCTATTTATCTTTGATTGACTCTACTGACTAAAAGGCCAGCTGACACAAAGTTTGCTAAGAAAATATACAGTTCAAGGAAAACCCTCTATTCTTTATGTTGAAGGCTAATATTTAAACATAGAAGCTATTTTAAATTATTAAATTACCATGTCTTATCTTTAAAAGCTACAAAATAAATCCCTCAGGATTAAGAAAGTTCTTATCTGCTAGGTGGCAGATTGTGGAGTGACACAAAAAGTTCAGTCCTTCTTTTGATTCCATTTGTCACAGCCTATTTGCAGATTGTACACGTGGGCTTTCCTTGCAAGAGTGTTGCTACACCATTAGCAAGTACTTTGCCTCTATCGCCTTATTAAAAACAATAAACAAACAAACAGTCTGGCCAGCTCTGGATCAAATCTACTGCTAATTTGAAATAGGCCAGGAGTTTTTGGCGTTCACGTGTGAGCTTATTAGCTTTAGCTAACTTCTCCAGACAGATGACTTACTCTGGATGAGCTTTTTGAGCTCTCTGGTCTTGTTAAAGCCTTAAATCAATTTTTATTTTTATGTTTGTTTGTTTTTTGTGGTGGGTTGCCTGCACTGCTGGTTAGTATAATTTATGTTGTTTTACACTGCCTTTCCCAACCCTAGGGTTCATGAGTGTGCCCACTTGGGAACCACTGGTCTAGCCAACCCAGTGCACCCAACAATCTGTTGCACCAGGAACTCACATTAACGCAGCTGCATCATTTCAACAAAAAGGGAAAGAAAAAGAGTTCATTGCTTTTCATTTCCACATATTTATATATAAACATCTCTACTGATAAATGAAATTCCAAAATCTCAACATAGTGTGCAATCCTCATATGTCATAGTAGCAACATGGACATTCCTGCTTTTCTTTCCCTAATATTTATGCCATATTCTTTTCACGAAAGCAAGAAAAAAGGGAGAAACTTATCTGACCCATGCATGGTGCTGACATATTTCAGCCTAATTAACAAATGCTTTATGCATCCTTATCAAGACAAAAGGTTCTGGTTTTAATAGGATACGATCACCTTTTGGCAACCTCGATGATGTCAGAGTGCTCACCATGAATCTTGCACCTTAATTACTACCCTAAGATGAATGGACTGTTCACTCTCAGAAGAAAATGGAGAAGGAAAAAGCCCTGAGGCCACCATGCCAGCAGCTACCCGTGACAATATGTGATTGACAGAAATAGACACCTGTTGATGTGGGCTCTCATTTAGCCAATTAATATGCTGTGGTCTACCAAAAAAATGTAACAAGAAGCAGCAAATACAGAAAGAAATTAGAGTAAGAATTACTATTTTATCTAGGTAGGAACCCCTTTTTTGTTCCCTAATAGCTTAGATCTAGATCAAGCTCCTGATCTTGGAATTCCAAATTCCTGTAAGTCACCCACTCACAAACATTGGATGAGATTTATATGCATCTCAGTTTGGTTTCTATATTTAACATACTTGAGGGAAAGTTTGTCTCAAATACAGAAAATCACAGTGGATCAACGTATTACTATCCATCATCAACAGCTTGTGAATTTTCATCCTCAAAGTACTAACAAGTTCAGCATAGTGTTATTACATTAAAGCACCTGTTAGATAGGTGGTGAGTGGTGGATGGACAGTGTAAAGCAAAGTCATTTTCATTTTAACTCAGCTAACACTTGGTTGGCACTGTCAGAAGATTACACAGCCACACACTCATACTAAACATGCAAGGGTATGTTTGCTGCTCGTAAGAAACAGTTTTGTGTAAAAGAACACGTTTTTAAACTTGGCTGCTGTTCCCCAGAGACCCCAAGACGAAATGTATCCACAGTCCTCATGTGTTTATTGATGGGAAAGAATGTGTATACAGATTGTGTGTGTGTGTGTAGATATCATGCCATCTGTTTTAGTCAGCAGCTGCCAGAATACAGTATCACATCTCCAACTTGTGAGTAACTGAATAAAATGTGAGTACAACTGTTACCACAGTTATATTTGCAGGGAGAATTAACTCCTCCAAATCCTACTTTATCCTTCAGAGAAACTTTTGTTATGAGCTCTGATGCTACAGAGCAAGAATTCATGAAGTCAGGGTCACTTAGTAATGGGAATTGCTAGCAAATGTTTTGTGGGGATGTTTTCAAAGACAAAAGGAAATTGGAGACATCCCTTATATTGTGGAAGCATGGGAAAAACCTCTTAAGGATTTATGCTTTGGTTCAGCTCTCACCACGACCGCCCCCTCCACCCTCACCACATTTATCCCTCTGACTCTTTGAACCTGCCGGCTGCAGTCGCCGACCCTCATTAATCATTGAGGATGGCCTTCCACTCTCTTGGGTAGTGCCCAGCCTGCCCAGGCCTCATCACTGATTGCTTATGCCTCAGGCGGGTGAAGCGTCTCTTATGCTCCAGCCTTGGCACTGGGTGTAGGCCCTGCTTGGCATGGATGCTCACACTTCACAAGCCAACCTTGTCAACCCTGCTTTCTCCTGCTCGGCCTCCATGTGTTTGTGTGTGTGTACAGCTTAGCAATCTACTGTTGACCTGCCTCTCATAAATGAACTTCCTCTCTAGTTTATGTTCATTTCCTGAGTCTGTGTTGTGAAACCCAAAATATATTAAACACCATTCATATCTTTACTGTAAATTCCTGTTTTTATTATTGAGCTTGTCAATCCTAACTAGTTTTTTTTTTTCTATATCTTTTATTTTCCTCAATTTCAGTTTCAGCCGTTTCTTCCCTTTCTATGTTTCCTTTTTCTTTTTTGTATGTGCAAAAATCAAATTGAGTACTATACCATCTCTTTTGTACTCCTTAGAGATGAGTTACTTCTTAATCAGTTCCCATGAATAGGCAAACGTAGCAGTTGCCAGTCCAGCACCTTTATACCCCCCTTTTCTGTGAAAACTGGCCTGTTGCATTGTTACAAATCTAATCCACAGTTACGTAGCTTTGTCTCAGAACTTCGTAAAGCCTATAACACCAAAAATATCCTATTATAAAATGGTTGTAGGCAGTGTGGCTGAGCAAAACAAGGAGGCCGTAAACAGTCATTTCTTCTCCACTAAAGTCTATGATTGTCATGGGGGATGAATTTGGCATTGCACAAACAAAGGGATTTCATCATTTTCAGCCCCTGTCAAACCATCCCCTGGTGGGCCTGCAACTTCAGACTGTAACCGTCAGCTAAAAAGACCCTAGTGCAGCCTTGTCTGTAAATCATGTCCTGTGCTTTTTCCTCAGTATGTCATTATGTAGTATTTTATATTTGCAGTGCATCCAGCAAGCCATTTTTGCACCGACCTATGATTATACCTTCTAACAGGTAATCAAGGTTATGTTTCCCATGGCAGTCTTGTAAAAAATACAATCACGGATGAGGATGTAAGCATAGCCAGATCCATACAAGCCACAAATTTAGGTAGCCCACTGATTTTAATAATTGCTCACAGTATAATGGGATCCCGTGGCATCAGGAATTCATATTAAATGAATGTTGAACACAACATAGGAAATAATAAGATATTAAAATTAAAACAACACTGGAATTTCCAGATGAAATCCAATTAAATCAGCTGTAGCAGGCCTAGTGTTTTATTGACTTTTGCTGGTCCATTTCTGCTTGCAGCATCTGTCATGAATGATTCATACCACTGGCTTTTCTCTACCTTGCACAGTGAGGGGCATAAAGTCGGATATGCCCTAAATCACATACATACAGGCACCCAAATCAATTTCAGCTACAACATAAGTGTTACACTTTGACACTTTCTCTGTAAAAGAAATACTGGCAAACCAATCTGTATGTTTTTTGTGTAGTTTTAGTTTCTCCATTCAGTTCTCCAACAGCTGAGTCAACTTTTATGCTAATACTTCCCTGGAAAGCGGAGAGCAAGATTGTTGAAAACACAATTTTCCTCTTTTATGCTTAGTTAAGTATTTTCATCTTAATGGCCTTCTTAAATAACTTCCTATTGTTGTTTAGTGAGTTGAAAGTCTGTGAAAGACTTTTTTTCCTCCACCAAATACTCCCTTTAGTAGAGCAGCAAGAGTGAGTTTCGGTCTTGGTTACAGCATGCTACTATTATTCACAGGTCTGAAGGATTAGTCTCAGAGGTAATGGTGATTGTGGGTTTTTAATCATTTCATGGAACTTTTCTTTTTTCCAGGGTACATTCTTTAATGACTGAAAAACAAGAACTGGATCCACAGGTTTTAAATTGTTTGGGAATTTCTCCAATCCACACAGGGTCAGACGTATAAATACATCCTCACTAATATTTGGTTAAATGTCCTGTAGCAAGATATAGCCCAACCAATTGCTTTTGGTAGACATCAGCAACCTTTGGCATGATTCTAGCTGGATATTTGAACACTTTTCTTGGCAGAATTGGAAGTTTACTTAAATTAATTGTACCAAATGTGAAGCACAGTGGTGGTAGCATCATGGTCTGGGGCTGTTTTGCTGCCAGTAGTACTGGTACATTGAGAAACTCCAAAATAATTTTAAACTTGTGCACCCAATTCTTGTTTCTTTAAAGTCTCCAAAGATATATTCTGTTTAATCAGTCCATCCTGGAAAAAGAACACTTCAAGGAAATCATTAAGAGCCCCATAATTAATATGACATTAATGTGTGTCTTGTTGGCTTTTGACCACATCTTTATATGGTATTAAAGTAGAGAGTGAATGCACTGTCTACAAACAGTACTAAGCGTGTCATGAAAGGGAGAGGTAGTGATAAATGATGATTCACTGTTGTTTTCCCTGAACCTTTGACATTCAAAGTTCAGTTCAAGAAGGAAAAAAGAAACAGTTTTCACACTAAGACACACAAAACAACATAAATCATATATAATGTGGGTACTATACCCTTAATCCAATTAAAGAAAATATCCATGTGCTTTAATAAATCATCAACAAAAAACCCTAAAGAGCTATGGGCTTTACGGGACCTCTGAAAACATGCATTATCAGATAATGTACATGGTGTGCATGTTAATTTTACCATCTACAATATAAAGCCTGGAGCCACTAGTAATCAATGTGAAGTAGATGACTCACTAACCAAGGCCAGCCATTATGAGGTCAAATATTTCACCCTCTCACTTCCTGCTTTAAAGTATGTCTGTCTATTTGTAGGTCTGTGTGGAAGTTTATTGAGCAAAAGGCTTGGCATTAATAATTAACTCTGTGAGGTTGTGTTTCTATTCCATTCAATACACACATGGTAGTGTTACATTAGGCAGAAAAGGACAGGGGGGGATCCATTATTTATCCCGAGCACTGGCTCATAGGCTCAGGGTTGGAGGGCCAGTCTCTCGGGAGCAGATGTGGGACAGAGGGCAGATGAAAGAGCTTTTACATAGCAAACACATTTTCGACATCATGAGTAGGTGAATGGGGTAAAGCCATCTGGGGATATATTATCTCCAGTTCTTTCATTTTTAGGATGGCAGTTTGATGACACGGGCAATGTGCTGATTTCACCTGATGACCTTACTGAGTACAGCTCAGCAAATTCACAAGACAACTAATAACCAGGACCCTGGCGACTGGAATGGACTGGGACATTGGTCTGTCCTCAGTGTTTATAGTATTTACAGAAATTGTAGTGTTTTCCAGTTTGGTCCAGTTACTTTAGGCCGATGAAAAGAATGTCAACTGAGCCAGAATACAATCTGAGCAGAGTGATCTTAAATGAAAAGTTGTCTTGTTTGATGTGGTTTGTTTATGGTGCGATGGCAAAACAGAACATCTGCAGGATTTCATTATGGTAGACATGATTTTAGCACCAATTCAGGGGTCACACTACAGTTAAATCCATCTTTAGCCTTAGTCACACAAGCCTAGAGACTGATATGTGACAAAGAACTTGCTGCACCAAAATTTTCCTTGTAATTGCTTTGGTCATTTGCTACTGGCTACTGGAAGGCGATGGCTTGTCTTCCAACACTCAACATTTATTCTTCAACCTGCAGCAAGCACACCTCAAAAGATGTAACTTTTACTTTGAAGACAAACTGTCTAAGTTTCTGTTTTCCATCACACTTTTTAAAATTTTTACTACGGCTTGGCGAGTGTTTAGAGTCAGCATCTTGCAAACTATTGGCAACCATGGTTACCTGCTAGCAACCAAAGGGCAATCACATAGAGGTTTTTGGTGCGGCATCACATACCTCTTTGCAACCAATTTCGCACTGGCAAGCAACATCTTGAAAAATAGTTGCTAGCAGTTGCCTGGGGCAAAAAATTTCACAGTGACTGCCAGTGGCTGTGGCTGTCTGTATGACTCAATCTTCAAATCTACCCCTATAATAGTACAGTATTTGTTTCTCATTATTTATAACAATAATTAAAAGTGGCTGTATTTTATGCTCAGAGGAAAAACTGGTATTCACAACAATCAACAACCAGACAAAAGTCCGAAAAGAACAAAATCATTTTATAGTTCGATACCAAGGTCAGGGTCTGATGTGTGTCTGATATTTTGTAACTCCCTATTTCTCCCACTTAAAAGTAAACTATCTATCCAGGCCCCTCCATAATATTGTGTTCCTTGTGTATGAGAACATACCATCGTAGGTGCCACTCTCCAGCAGCAGTCCACTTTCTTCCAGTTCACGAAACTCCGCCACACTGATAAAATTGTAGTCCACTCCCGGAACCTCCCCTTCTCGAGGCTGCCGAGTAGTACCTGCCAACAATGAGAAAGTTTAATACAGTAGGAACTCCAAACAAGTGGAATGTGCCATTCATCGCCAGGGTGGGAGTGGGGGTTGGAAGTGACACTCAATCCAACATGCCCACAGGGATGTGATTCAAGTCCAAATACAATGCTCAGGGGAGAATCTGTGTCTGCATCATGAATAGTCAACAAAGCTGGGACAGCAAAGCGATGAATTCATTATTCAAATATGAAGCAGAGGGAAAAAAATGTCCTCCACAGAGCAACACAGCTGTCACAATACAGAAGAAGTACAAGTGATGACAATGAACAAGATTTTTAATTACATACTTTGACGCTGATTGTGTAGAACAGCACCACTTTAAGCACGATAAATGAGAAAAATTAGAAAGCTCTCTGTTGACCTTACACATATTTTTTTTAAATAATAACACCATCTGCATGTCTGCTCTGTGTGGAAATTAGTTCTCCGAAATTAATAATAACTAATCCAATGTACATCCTGGTGCTGTACACTTTTGACATGCCAGCCTACAGCTACCTAAATAAACTGTTTGTTTATGCAACGCATTTTATGGGACCTCATTATCAACAAACCACAAACTGCTATTGTGAATAGATTCAAATGAATATAACGCACTGTCACCTCAAAGCCCTTTCTGTTGATTTATTAGCCACAATAGTTGTTTCCTGCACTAAAAAAAAGAATAAAAAATAAAAAAACAACAACAACAAGCAAATCACGCATACTTGCAGTGTATTTCCAAATGTCAATGGTTATGATCGGTGGCAGTTGCTTTGCCTAAAACAATAATAGAGAAAGAAGAATTCCCTTTTTTCCCCAAATGCATCCTTTGTTCTCCTTTTCCCTTCATTTTACAGTCCTTTACCCCCTGAAACAGGCAACCTTAAAGCACTTTCAATTCCAGCAAAGAGCCATTAAGTAGTACCATGCTGCAACTGTGATTTAAAAAGTGTCACATTTTCCCTTGTTGATGGTCTCATTGGCAAGACACTGAAAACTTACTGTTATGAAAATAATTTAATGCTCCTTAACACGCCAGCTGCTCTTACCATCATCTTAGATGTAATCAGGCCTTTTGAAATACCTCAGCTAAACCGCTCTGCTATCTGACTGCACTGCAGGCACGAGGGATTTTAACTCAGAGCTTAATAGGAACCCATCCCCATTCTTCATTTTCTTTCTGTGTCAACATCCATCCCGACTGCAGTGTGAGCCATCGCATCTGAAACTGCTTAGTTTCTTGCAAAGGCAATCTTTTATTCTGTCAAACAGAGCAATCAGATGAGACCAATAAAAATCACAAGAAGAAGATATATGAGCTCATTTTTGGAAGAAGGAATAGGGAAATGTATTATGTAGCTATTTATTGTTAATTCAGCTACCTTACCAACAAACTCCAAGACACTGGATCGGTTTTCCTGTTATACAATCATGTAAATGTATTCATATGAAGTTGGTGCAACATGACTGCAAAAGGTAGCAGAAACCTCCCAAAATAACACAAAATAAAGGAGAAAACAATAACATTACAGTTTTAAAACATGAAAGAGATAGCAAAAATAAAACTGTATGTGCAGTTTGTTATTCAGTTATGGTTAGACAGTGGAAAGAGCCACCTGAAAAAAAGAGCACTGGGAGAAGGAGCCTTGAAGAGAGCACCAGAAGAAATTTGCTGCCAATTCTCACCGGAAAATACAAGCCTGTTTTAACTTTTAGTTTATGTGTTTGATTTTTTTAAGAGATGAAACAACTGTATGAAAACAATACAGGAGCAAAACAGAAGAAAAACAAAAAGTAAATGTAGTTGATACAGTAGGTCTGTGGAGGTTATTCTGACTTCACATCAAAATCCAGCTCTCCAGTGTTAGATATGAACTGTGTTTCATGGATTTTCTTAGTCGTGAACTGTATTTTGCAGGTTGAACACCCACTCAGTGGAGCACCAGAAGAAACAACAAGCCCACAAGATGCTAATTGCAGCAAAACAAAAAAGAATGAGTAAAGAAGCACGTGGATTGCCATTTGTAAACTGACAGATGCTTGATCGCATAGTGCCAACTTCAAACTTTTAGTCAGACTGTGTGAGTTTGACTGTAATATACGATAAACACACAATAAATCAGAACGCTAACATGAAGGAACATGGAAATATGAGTGTTGGTTACAGTTGCTGGCTCAATAGCTACAGTGAAAACACAATAAACACTCGAAAGTGGGCATTTAGCTTGTCCATTTTGGCACACATCATCCACAGTTGTCTGAGACTTACAGTAAGTAGAAAACAGTAAGTGAAGAGTTCAGTGCAACAGCTATGCTTAGTTTTTGTTTTTAAACTTCTCAAAATAGAAATTGCAATTGACTGAAAACCTGAGGCACTTTATTTTTACCTTTGCACCATCCTTCCTTGGTGTTTTATTGTGAAGCGAGACTAGTGGGCCTGAGTGCTGTGCTGCAATGGATATTAATACCCAGGGAAGGAGAGAGCGATAGTAGACGGTAGAGTTGGGTGTTGGAATTTAGTGAAGCTTTAAGGATTTTTGGGTGACCTAGACCCCTGGTACTGGCTTGAGCCCCAGTTTGTGGGAGGCAAGAGTGACACTTAATGAAGCTTCTCTGTGTGCAGCAGAAAAGCAAAGTCATACTTCTGTCACTCCGAAATGCTATTTGGAGTGCTGTAATGAGCGCATGGCATCATGCTGTAATGGCTATTTAGGCTGCTCACAGGGTCACTTTGGCTGAGTGCACTGTGATAAGCCACTGGCACAGGCCTGAATGAGCAAACTGGACAGCGGACATATGCTGAGCTACTGAAGCCAAACCGCAGTGTTGATACGCGTGGTTCACAGTTTCTATTATCTTCCACAATAACTCACTAAAGTAGACCCAAATGTGCACAAGCAGGTACAACTACAACACTGGCTTTTCAGCTGTGATAATCATTGTGATAATGTGAGAAAATGTAACATTTGCATTTTATTTGAGATAGAAAAGACTGAGATGTTATTTATCACACTGTAATTAGGAGAGGAGGTCTAATGATTAAACTTTAAACTACTGTGAAACTTCCACGACAGCAAGCATGATTATTCGGTAAGACACAAATAAATATGCATCTCAAATTAATCAGTGATACTTCTACACAGCAATATTCCTTAAATGCACCTCCAACTGTCTTTTGAATAATGTCCCCCACAAGCAAAATGTCAGAAGTGAAAGCTTTCCAAATGCTAACTGTGAGTTGCACAAGTAATAAATGCTGTCTCAGTGATAAATGGCAAAAACATTGTTGTTTATGTTTTGTTTTGTTTTTTTTAACTCAGCTGCGCATCCCAGAGAACTGCAGCTGCTCGTTCATTTACGCCTGTTGGCCTTGTTGTCCATTTTTAAATCACTCGGGTATAAACACAGAATATTCCAAAAGAGCAGTGGAGCAAACTCAAACTGAGGGGGGAAAAAAATCAGAGGGTGGAAAGTAAATGGGGAAGAAAATGTAGAATTACTCTTTCCTGAATTTAAATCGAACACAACCAAGGTCTGACAACAATCAGAAACTGACAAACATCTCTCTTAATTAAATATTTCATATACACGAGGGCAAAACTCCATTATTAAACATAAAAACACTGAAAGTTTTTCACCCTTTTTTATTCCACAAGCACTGAAGTCTATATTTATACATTTTACCTATGTAGACATCCATATAAAAGCCTATTCAGGTTTTCATAGGACTGTGTGCTTTTACAAATTTTGGTAAGATCAAGAAGTGAAAATCTGCAGTTTATAATACTGAAGTGTAAGTAGAAGAAATTAACAGAAAACAAGTTAAAGGGGTTTATTTGAATTAAAGAATAGGGAGGGCCTGGAGGAAAATGCATAACAGGTAGTGCTACAGATGGGAAGAGACTACGCTCCATCTGGAGAGGTGAGAGGGCAACAAGAAGACCCAGACAGAGAGAGAAGACTGAAGGGCCCAAGGCTGAGGAAGCTACTCACAGGGAATGGTACGCAGGTACAGGTTGTCCCTAATCACCTGCTGGAGCTTATGGTCCAGGGAGCCCTTCTGAAACTGCAGACTGAGGTAGTGACGCAAATCAGTATTCAACACTTTACCTGGAGGGAAAGAAAAGAAAAGTTTGAGTTATGAATTCACACTGGACGGCCTCCAAACTACACACATTTTAAAAACACCATTTTGATTATTTACATTTAAAGACAATTAAAAAAGATAATCAGAAATTTTATTTTATAACCAACAATATTGGAAAGCTCTAATCAATAACCCCTGCTACAGTGCCCAAATCAAAAACACCACATATTGGGACAGTAAATATTTACATCTGATACTATGTGATTAGGAGCACATAGTAGCATGCAAGTCTATGAAAGTTTTACGCTTCCAATAATGATCACTGTCATGTTTCATGCTATCATGCTAACGTAAAGAATAAGCCTTAAAGAAATAAAAATAGATATATTTTTTTTTACCCAAGCTTTAGTTAAAAACTTTATTTTTGAAACGTGCTCGAGAATAATACACAGGTTACAGATACACTTGAAATAAACTGTGCAAAAGATGGACCTAGCTTCCAGATCACAAACAATAAGCCAATTTTATCTGATGGCCACCAGATGGCGATAGCACAGGTGCTATGTTTTAAAAAAGGAGGATTGGCCTTGGTATGCTCATTACATAACGGCTTGTGACCAATTAGCTGCCAGCCAAAGCACTTCACAGTCAGACACACCCCTCCTTGTCAAAAACGGGTTTTTGTTGTTTGTTTGTTAAATCAAGATCTCAAGGCTTTAACGCAGAACATCAGAAACCAATGGATGATGTCACTGTAGCTATGCCCACCTTTATCATCGATGAGTTAGACCCCTGAGATACATTTTTCCCCACCACTGTAGGTTCAGTCAATCAATGTAACCCATCAGACATACATATTTATGTAATTCAAGACCTGCTAAGGAACTCTTCTTTTTTTTTTTTTTATTGTGTCCTCATTTGGAAAACCTTCTTTTTCACACAACTGTAGGTAAATGTACATAGTATGATCTCTATCCAATCCCGATCGGAATGAAACCTATTAGTCACATGATTAAATATTTATTAAGCTCTATCGTTAAAAATCCAGACGCATGGCAAAAGGCAAGAGCATAACATTAGCACTATTATTTCCTAGTAGGAACAGCAGTTTAATCCAAGTGTGGGGAGTGATCTGATTAAACATTAATTGGACAATTTTGTAGTAATAATTCAGATGCACTCACGACAAAAACAACCAAACAAAAAAACAAACAAAACAGGAACAGAACATTAGGATGGCTGTTTTTTAGAAGCAAAAGAAAAGGAAGCAAAGTCTGAGAAAGAGAGTGCAGGAAGAAGATTTACAGCTCTTCTTGGAGTGATGGAATATCATAGAGTACACAGAGAGATGAAGAGAGAAGAAAGAAACCAAGAGCAAAATCCTTTGTGCTTCTTTGCTACAGTTAGACTCTTCCACTGTGTGGTCTCAAGCTGTGTGTGGAGCATAAGTTTCTTTCTGAAGAAGGGACACGCAGGATGTGCTTTGAATACGTCTTCACTACCACTGCGGGCATCAAAGCTCATTCTCTCCACCACTGCTTAGCAGGGGGTACACAATTAACCTGACGCTGCTGACTAAGGGAGTGGGCACAAGGATGTGATATCTACATCAATTGTCATGCCATTTGTTTGGCTTTGGGGTTTTTTCTTCTTCTCAAAAAACACTTTGACTTTGATCAGAATCAAGTCTTGTATTATGCATCTGTCCCTTTTTCTTTGTGCAGCCCAAAATGCAGAAACGCAAGGCCAAGATGTGCCAATGTCTGCCAGAGTCTCTGACAGAAGTGGTGAAATCCAGCAGATGTCTTATCCAAATCAGGAAATGTTGACAAATCAAACACAAGTCATGCAGAAAATGACAGACTCCAAATGAGATCGACATTAAACTACTGTGGGGAGCTTAAGTCAGTCACGTCTTCCAGCAGAATATGTAAATATGTAATTTTACAAATTGTAAGAGCGATTCTCTTGTTGGCTCATCTGCTCATAAATATTTTGAAATAGTACTCTGCATCATTATTTTAATTAACAACTAAAAACTTTTTCTTGCATTCAAATGTATTCACTAATTTACAAAATACACACACATACGCATACAGACACATGTAGAAAATAAAATGTAGGAAAAAAAAATCCAACTCTCATAATAGCAAAGAGAAATATTCCCATAGTGAAAGTAATGATTTTTTTGTGGCGCATCCTACACCTCCCACACTCTGTAAGAGCTTTTCCTATTCAAGAAAAACTTGAACAATATTTTTATGACATTTTCATTCGGAAGTGTTAAAGGAGAGCCGAGGCAGCTGGGGAATAAGACAAAATAAAAACCCACCTAATTCCAAAATATTGTAAATTAAATTCATTGTTATTCATTCCCTAAGGGGATAAAACAAGTAATGCAAGGAGTGCAGATCAGCAGGATAATGTTGTCTTAAAAAGTGGTGGTGAGAATATTTTTTAATAAAACGTTTTGAATTTCTTGTTTACTGGATGCTCAACACAACTCAGTACTGTGGCACTGTGCTCTGCAGGAAGGCACAGGCAGGTTTTTGGAATTTTTGGGGGTTCCAGTCATCCTTCATGTACATGCTAATTTGCTTAAGCTGAAACGATACTGTAATTGCAGCATGTCAGTGGTACAAGTAAGTGCTAAGGCATGGAGAAGCATGGCTATCTATTATGTAACTCTATAGACTTTTTATTGGCACAATGAATGTAAGGAATTTAGGTCAATGAAACAAAAGCTGCCTGGCTTTGAATACACAACAAAACCCCACAAAAGCCACAAGCCTGCGGTCCATGTTCCCAGAAGCTATGAGAAATGAAAACCCCCAAACTCTAATAAACATAAAGAAAATACATCCCAACCCTCCCACTGGGTCAAGCTTGTGTAGATAGGAGTGATTACCCCTCCGCCAGGGCTTTTATCAAGCTTGGTAAACTCACCCCAAATCTATTTTCACACAAGGCCTTGAAAGATCAACTGGTTTCAGTGTGGACAACAGAGGGTACTAACCGATACCACAGAATTCCCGCAACTATGTGTAGATACAACGCAGGGTCAACAAAAATCAATCTCTTTTTCTCTCTCGTACTTACACACAAACACATGCAAATTACCTCCACTGCCCAAAGCAAACTCCTACTCAAGAGCCTCTAACAGGGTAGCCTTTGTGGCCCGCCTGTCAGCTTGCGTTAGCCTGCCACATCATATCTCCAGAGACAGAAAGAGAATGAGAGAAAGGGGGAGTGCAGCGACTCTCAGCTTCCTGCTAGGTTACAAGGCAGCACATCACTGGCCTGCCAGGGTAGTAGTACGAGGCATGTGGGACACAATGGAAGCCTTTGTGCCTTGTCATCCGGCTATTAGGCACTCTCGCACAGGGGGAGTGTAGGGGAGCAGCTGGGGAAAAGGGGAACTGCAGTTCAAGGATGGAGAATTATTAAAAACAAAGGGAGTGAAGGCGGACAAGGTGCACGAAGTGGGTGACGTTTGCACGGAGGATTAATGATGATGCATGGGAACACACATGGAAACCTACCATGCTTGTCTCATTTTCCCTTTTAATCATTGTTCAACCACTCCATGCATGCCTGTGCCGCCCTTTCTGTGGAGATTCATCAGCCCTGGCAGATCCCCACGGGGCTCTTCACACCTATGTTTGAGATCACTTTCTGAATTGCTATCAGGCCTCCCTGCATCTCTCCTTTTTCTCTATTCCACTGCTAGCCACTTAACCTTTTATTTGCTCTAATAACAATCCTCTGCTTTCAATGGATGTCTGCATCTACCTGTCGCTATAGTGCCTCTCCACCTGTCTTCTGCCGCAAGGATAAAGGCAAATACAAGCCAAGCCTTCTTTTTGTGTTTAGCTGCCATTAGTTTTCAGGTCACATATTGAGGAGCAGGAGGACAGGCTTAGCAGATGGGTACACAACTTTCCTGCTTTAAAGTGCACAATGAAATTCTAAAGCAGAACAAATCCTTTGTAATGTACTTTTATTTAGAAATATGAGGTGCTTCGGATTTTTTTTTTTTTAAACATAATTACAACAAAACAGAATAAAATCAAAAGCCTAGAAGCATGCTAGCAGCACTGAGACTGTTTCTACATAATCCTTCATCACAATGTTAACACAATTTAGCAGGTATAATGCTGACTATGTTCAATTTCTTAGAAAAACTGTGTTAAAATGTACCAAATCACACAACCAGCAAAGCACAGTTGAGGATGACAGTAATGGGGTTTTTAAGCATTTCGTCTTGAAAGAAATAACACCATCAACTGAAATTTCATCTGGGGTAAAGTGTCTCACGACAATCCATCCAACAGTTTAAGACATGCCATTGAAAAAAAGATATAGGCTAATAATTTCATGTGCTGCCTATCAATTATCACTTTGATAGGCTTCATCTTCTAGTGACCAAAGTGGAACCAAGTCTAATAGTTTACGTAGTATTTTAATCATCAGCAGAGCAATAGATTAGCTGTTAATCTGTTGTTCAGACTGATATAATCATGAGAAAGAAGTTAGGTTGACTCAAAAAAAAACAAAAAAACAAAAACTCTCTTCAACTACAGAAACAAATAAGCTTCCAAACTTTCTACCGAGCACTCAGGTAAAACTATCCATCTTTGTTTGTCTTCTGCTAAAACCCTGCAGCTCGACTTGGCACACCAGCATGCTCTCGGTTCACCGGGGCCAAAACAATACACTTGCAATACAGATATTTACCCAGGCATCCAGTAAACAGGCAGTTAAATTACAATATGCTTGCATAGACACAATGCTCTTCCAAAATGAGAGAGGAAGCAATGAAGAGATGTCACCAGCAGGGGTGTCAGTGGGCGTCTAATGAGGCAATTCTCTGACAGTAGTGCAGCTCCAGAAATGGTGAGAAAGCCCCTGCCATCTGCTAATTACCACCTTGTTAGGTTCATTTGGCAACTTGGGACAATAGAATGTCCTGCCTCATTCTGTATGACAGGCAGACAGAGGAATCACCAGATTTTTGGAAACA